CCAAACTAGAGGAGACGCACAAACTAATAAACAAAACTCTCACTGGGATCAGGTTCACCAAGGAAGAGGAAAAGAACAAACAGCTCCCATTCCTGGATGTCAGGTGGAACGCAGGACCAACAGGGAATTCCTAACAAAAGTACACAGGAAAGCCAACACACTGACCAAGTACTGAATTTCAGCAGCAACCACCCTAACACCTACAAATGAAGTTGCGTGAAAACTCTGTTCAAATGGGCAACAACACACTGTAGCAACACAGAACTACGCCAAAAAGAAGAAGAATACCTCCTCCAAGTATTCAAGGACAACGGATACCCGAAAAACTGGATCAGAAAATGCCTATTACACGAACAACACCAGGAAGATACTGCACGCCCCAACACACTCATCACACTACCTTACATCAAGAACACATTTGAACTGACCATAAGACTCCTACGACCACTGGGCATCAGAGTAAACACAAACCCACATCAACCTTATGCCAACTGTTCACCTGAACCAACGACCCATTACCCACAATGGACAGGACCAACGTAATATACAAGATCCCCTGCAAAGACTGCGACAAACATACATTGGACAGACAGGAAGAAAATTAGCCACAAGAGTACACGAACATCAACTAGCAACAAATAGACACGACCAATAGTCACTCATTTCCATCCACGTGGATAAGGAAAACCACCAGTTTGATTGGGACAACACCAGGATCCTGGGACAGGCCAAGCAGAGACAAGCACGGGAATTTCTAGAGGACTGGTTCTCACTAAGAAGGCAATTGACAAACACATTGACCTAGACCCTATATACACTCCACTGCGAAAGAAAACCGGAAGTGAGGTAACCCAGTTCAATGGACACCAGAGTTTAAATAAGGAGTGGGAAAACACAACAGTGCTTCATCGGAGGCTGCACTGATGATGTTAGCCAGCAGGGTAATACAATGTCTGAGTAACAACGAACCAAAAACAACTAGTCTACTGCATTCACTGCTCACAATGTGGTCTCCTTTACATTGGGGAAATAAAACATAGACTGGGTGACCGCTTCACAGAACACCTACGTTCTGTCTGCAAAAAATACCCTGAGCTTTCAGTTACCTGCCACTTCAACACGCCACCCTGTTCCCTGGCCAACATCTCTGTCGCAGGCTTGCTGCAGTGCTCCAGCGAAGCTTAGCGCAAGCTTGAAGAACAACACCCCATTTTCCGCTTGGTCCATGCAGCCTTCTGGACTCAATATCGAGTTCACTAACTTGAAGGCTTGAGCTCTTAAATATTCAATGACCTCCACCTCCACCATCTTCTGTGGCAGAGTGTCAAAGTCACATAAAACTTAAAGAAAGAAGATCGCCTCATCTCTGTCCTGAAAAGATGACCCCGATTTTAAAATAATGCCCCCTACCTTTTTTTATTCTACCTGCAAAAATGAACAACTTCACATATTCCCACAATATACTCTCAACTGCCAGATTTTGTCCACTTATTCAACCTCTCTACATCTGTCTGCCACATCCTTATGTCTTTTTCACAAATGCTTTCCAACTCTCTGGATGCTGTCTGAAAACTTAGCTCACCTTGCCCTTGCCCTCCTCATCTAAATCTTTGATTGACTCTTAAAATTACATTTACGTTTTATATTTGAATCACCAATTACTTGTTAATTCATGTGTAATTTTCAATTGTTCTGATTTGTATTAAAGTAAAGGCCATAAAAAGTAAAAACTTTTTGGTAATTTCTACACCTGGGGCTCATTCAATAAATTTGGTTACTTTGGTTTACGGTTTCCCCAAGAGGATTAGAACAAAATTAGAATAAACTGAACAACTAACAATAATTCAATGGTCACAGTGTAGTTTAATAATCTGGTTGTGTTTACATTATCTGTTTAACACTACGTTCTATATATATGCATCATGTCCCTGAATTATCTTCAAAATAATTAAGGAGGAATTTTAACTTTTGGGTGGAAAGCCAGCTGGTCATCTGGGCTGCTCTGCTGTAATCTACAATGGGATGCCTGATCCAAATTAATAGCCAAACATCATTAACATTTTGCCAGCTCGTTGCCTGCCCAAAACACGTGTCAGACGTTTAATTCAGATTTTATGACGTATGAGGATTTTATTCAAAACGATACAAATAAACTTTAGTAAAAACCTCCTTTGAAAAGGCAGCCAACCTCAAATAAAATGTGGTATTGTGGCACTTTTATGACCTTGAAAAAATTTGTTGGCTTATACTATGCATGAATTTCTTTCAAAGATGAGGAAATAGCAGAAACTGAATATATTTTATTTCAAATATTCAGCTGTTGTTTCCTAAAGTTGTATTTAAAACTTGGAGGAATAAGATTGACAATAAAGAAGTCCATTCACTTCTGTTGTAAAACGTCATTGTTTTAGCACAACAATGTAGGTCAATGAAGAATTAACGTAGCACCAAATAAAAGTTAGTAAAGAATATGATCTAACTACTCGAGTACTGAGGTGATAAGCTCTATATCCGAAGGAATAAATACTGATGTGTAATTTTTGATTGAATTATTGGTAATAATCTGCAATTTTAGTGTGCAGTAGAAAATTGCTACCCCAGTGACGGATATTTGCAATTTTCATGCAGATTTATAATTTAGAAATAAAAACCACCACCTCTGATGCGCATTCCATTGTGGTACAGTGATTATTGTGCAATATTTGGTGTCTATTTTTATGAGTTGCAATTAAAAACTCCATTCAATTTTGAAAATTTCCAATGAATACTGGTGAATCATGATGAGAGTAAATTCATGTTTTCTGGATTCTGTGTAGTATGTAGACACCAAAATGATAAGAGCTAACAATAATCTCAAGGTCTGTTTTTCCACAGTAGAATACTTCTTCTGATACTAGTTTATTTTCTTAGAGAAGTATCCCATTGGCTTCTCTGTTCCTGACTCATTTTCCTATGCAAGATAGGACCCATTCCCAAATCGCTAGCATCAGTTGTCATTTTGAAAGGTCTAGAAAAAGCAGGGTAATCAACACAAGTTCATTTATTGAAATTGCCTTCACCTTATCAAATGCTAATTGGCAATATGCTGACCAAACCACTTCTACTTGTTTCTTTAAACAGTTATTAAATGAACTCTATCCTATTGATATTACACAGAAATTTCCAGTAAAATCCACACATTCCAAATCCCTAATGTTGTCTCATTTTAATTTTGGGAACAGGAAATTCTATCAAAATCTCCATTTTCACTATTCTTGTCCAACAGCATGGCTGAAGTAATTTACTCTTGCTTTCACAATTCCATATGGCTAAATTTATCGCAGGCAGCCAACTGTAATTGCTTAAACAGGGTTTTGACCTGTCTCACATGCTGTTCCCAAGTGCTACTATAAACTACAGCATCATCCAAATACACATGGCAGTTATGAACCTCAGCTACAAATCGAATCATAAGCCTCTGGAATGTAGCTCGGACACTGTTTAACCAAAATGGCATCACCCATTTGATGAAACAAAAGCAGAAATTTCTTTAACATTTGATGTTAATGGCACCTGCCAGTACCCCTTTAACAGATAATCTTAAAACGAAGAGACACTGCTACCTCTATCAATACAATCTTCTGACTGTGGAATTGGTTACAAATCTGTTTTCATAACTGTATTCACCTTTCCATGATCTGTAAACCATCTGGTTGATCCATCTAAGTTTAGGAACCAACACTTGGTGAACTCCAATTGCTCTGAGTCTATTCAGTCAAGAGGTTTCTCAGCATGCATTGAATGTCTCTTTCCAACTGAGCATGTTTTTCTTAGTTGATAAGGATGTTGTTTTATTGGTCCTGACTCTCCTATGTCCACATCATGTCTACCTAATGTAGTGCATCCAGGTGTATCTCTACAGATGACCTCATACTTTCTCAGTAGTTTGATTTTTCTGTTGTCCTTCTTTACCTGTCCAAGTATTTCTTTGGTTGTAGGATGTTCACCTATCCCACTTTCATTATCTCTGTCATTTTCCACTACTCTTATGACCTTAACACGGTTGTTCCTCTATATCCTCTTCCCAACTGTAACATCTTTGAAGTATGTTTGTGTTATATAACTGATTCTTCTTCCTTCGATAATCCCTTCCAAATAGTATATTTAGACAACTGAATTTAACTTCGAGGTTCACCTTGTAAAGGCAACAATTCTAATTCTTCATCTCCCACTTGAAACACTCTGGTTGCTGAATGTTTATCTGTCATTTTTTCATTTTCACTGGTGAAACTTTTAAATGTTTCTGTGTACCCTACACATCACCCAATTCTGACATCCCGACCTGAAGGACTCAGCCTGTTTTAGATTTCCTGTGAACCCAATTGCACGTTAGTCCCTCAATTTAGCTTTGCTGGTTAAAGTTACCTTCAATTTACCTGCCAAATTAATCAACCTTGGTTTTGAAATTTCCTTTAAGACTGTCAGCGACATCTTCGCCACTTGCAGGAAATTCTTTGCTGTTTCCAGTGCCATGTGTTAAACAGTACAGAGCCTGGTGTTTTCCTTCATTGTATCATTTATCAATACCACATCCAAATCCTATTGCCTCTGTTTACAGCCCAATTCCGGAACAAGGCCCAAGCTTCGTTATGACTCAGTGGGGTAGTGTGTTTGAAATTGGTCTCTGCTATTCCCAGAAGTGTTGCAAAAAATAAAAATGTTATAAAGAAGTGCAGAGTTCCCCAATTTACCTGACACGTTAGACATGGGTTGATAGAAAGCAGAAATCATGTTTTTGTATTGAACAAGAGTTATTATTTACTTCCATTAATTTGATTATATTTATAGGTAAATGGTTATAAACCATCAGTGTATAATGCTACTAATTAAAATTCTAATCCCTTATAAACTTCCCCCTTACATGCAGACAGCCGAAGAGACAGGCTTAAATAGGTTATTGACAGAGAGGAAAGACTGCATAGTCAGTTCAGTAGTCTTTGTTCCTAGGTATTGTTGTTGAGATGACTTTTATGACTCTTCTACTGGCTGGTGCATTGCTTCAGTCATCTTTCTCTGGTTGCTTAGTTGGTGACAGACACAAAGTGGGTGGTTCTCTTATGTAGTCTCTGATTTATCAGTTAAAAGTCACTGCACACAACAACTGTTGCAGGAAAGATAAACTTCATGTTTTCTTCATGTTTATATGAGTTTTAAGTACAGATAACAGGGAGATGGCTGTTGAGTTGGAGAAGAACTGAACATTTTCTCCCTGTAACTTTTTTCCCAGCTCCGAGCCATTTAGTTATCAGAGATCTCATGACGCAATTGTTGGCAGTCAAAAAAGTCCGAACTGGTCACTAGTTCATAGACCAATCAACTTCTTGTTGTCAGCAAAAGCTACATCAGTACACCCACCTCATCTCTAAATGTTCTGTCACCTGAACTTCAATTACTACTTATTCAAACAGTTGTTTACGCGATGATTGGCATCAGAGTCAGGTTACATGCTTTCAAAACTGAAGCCACGCTTTCAAACACTTCTTTTAAAAAAAAATAACTCTTTCTCATTTCAGCCCCAAGTTTTTAAAAACAGCAAATGTGTCCTTGTGTGTTTTTTAAAATCATGGAACCATATGTTTATGATCTTGCATATATTCATTTAATCAGTAATGCACTTGAACACATATAATAAGAATAATTACTAGATATAATGTAATTGTGCAAACAATTTAAGGAATAGATACTTGTAAAATTAAATTTTGAAGACTTCAAGGGAAAAATGTGAAATATTCAAAATCAGATGTTATTTATTATCACTGATAGATTCCCATATTACTTTGGGTGTTTGAAATGCGGATTTTATCATGAATATTGACCCCACTCCAAAAAAAAGTTACCTTTGTTCCAAAACTTAGATCTGAAATGGTCATTGCATTAAATTTGTAATATCAGCATGTACATTGATTCCTACTGTGATAAAATGAACAAAATGAAACCATTTCATGCAATTATCACAATACATTGTCCATAGCATGTCACAAAATGCAGATTTTAGGACCATCTATTTGATATTTCATACTAGACTCTTGAAATATGTATGCTTAATGATTCAATGGCCATCTATTGCCACACCTGGCAGTCAATATGTGCTCCTTACAGTGTATGATACTATTACTAAATATGTTTCCCGTCTAAAATTGTTTGACAGTATGTTGTAATAACATTACTTTTGGAGCTGCTGTTGAGGCTGTTATAACGGCTATGTAGTGTGCAAATTTTAAGAGTTGTTTATTTGCTTGACTGTGATTTCACAGTCACATTTTCGAGTGATAAAAATAACAAAAGATCTTCATTAATTTTCTTCAGAAATTACTTTAAGACCATGGGCTCTGATTTTACCTCCTTTAGATATTCTCCTGCTGTTTGGTGCAAAAAATAAAAGTTAAAAAATTTCTGCACTAATCTAGACTTTTAAATAAACAATATAAAGTGGTTTTAAAGGTCTGAAGGTTTGCCATATTGAATGCTTCATCATATTATCATAAGTATTTAGGAGTTTTGCAAAAGATCGTTTGTAAAAGATCACTTGTAAAACATAATTTTAAATGATAATGGGAGGAAATATGGATTTCTCAATATTCAAAAATGACAGTGCTTTGTGCCGTATTTGTTTGAAACTAATTTCTTCTATGGTATTTTTCAAACAGAGACAGAAGCTGCTAAAGGAAATTGAAGACCGAAAGCTTCCATATTTAACACCTAAAGATGTGCAGTTTGAACAACTGGTAAACCTGTTTTAAATATTAATTTGCTCTGAAGCAGTAAAAGCCCATTAAATTACTGCAAATAATTCCATTATCCTAATAACCATTCATAGAAACATAGACATAGATAGGAGGAGACCATTTGGCCCTTCGAGCCTGCTCCACCATTCATCATTATCATGGCTGATTGTCCAATTCAATAGTCTAATCCTGCTTTCTCCCCATAAACTTTGATCCTATTTGCCCCAAATGCTACATGTAGCCGCCTCTTGAATACATTCAATGTTTTGGCATCAACTGCTTCCTGAGGTAATGAATTCCACAAGCTTACCACTCTTTGGGTAAAGAAATGTCTTCTCATCTCCGTCCTGAATTGTCTACCTTGAATCCTCAGACTGTGACCCTTGGTTCTGGACACACCCACCATCAGGAATATCCTCCCTGCATCTACCCTGACCAGTCCTGTTAGAATTTTCTAAGTCTCTAGGAGATCCCCCCCTCATTCGTCTGAACTCTATTGAAAGCAATCTGAATTAGTCAATTTCTGCTGATGTGTCAGTCCTGTCATCCCTGTAATCACTCCCACGAGAGCAAGAGCATCCTTCCTCAGAAAAGGAGACTAAAACTGCACACAATATTCCAGTTGTGGTCTCACCACGGCCCTGTATAACTGCAACAACACATCCCTGCTCCTGTACTTGAAACGTCTCACAATGAAGGCCAACATACCATTTGCTTTCTTTACTGCCTGCTGTACTTGCATGCTTACCTTAAGTGACTGATGCACAAGGACACCCAGGTCTCGCTGCACACTCCCCTCTCCCAATTTACAGCCATTCAGGTAGTAATCTGCCTTCTCGGTTTTGCTTCCAAAGTGAATAACCTCACATCACTATACAGAATACAAGTTTGTGACTTCACAAAGTGCTCCCATTTTTAATTTTAGAAAATTTAATATGATCATGAATGAAGATATAGAATATGTCCTAAATCTAGACCCTGTGGGTTCTGGTAGGATTTCTACATTGCAGCCATCAATGTTGAGAAGTGAAATTTAAGCCTTACTATTGTCAAGCAGCTGCTCTTCACCACTATCCTGTGAGTTTATTTTCCAGACTGTGTTGTTTATTCTGGCTTGCACACCCCATTGGAATTTGTGTTATTCAAGTCTTGTCTTGATGCAAGTTGCAGCATCCACGTAGATTGCCTCCAGAACTCTGTGATGCTTCTTATCCAGCAATGCCTTGGTCAACCCTTCTTTCTGCTGCCCTCTGAGATTGGATCTCTCTAGTTATTTGGCCCTGATCAAATGGCCAACATACTGACATCTTAATTCCGGGATGTCAGTTTTTAAGAATTCTTATTGCTTTCAGTATACGATGCACCACACTGCTTTTATGTTCACACGTATGCATCTGCTTGTTGAATGATTGCTACATTGTATCAGTAGCCGTAAGATATGTTAGTACAACTTATTACTCATTATTCTTCTGTGCTGTAACCTTCTGTTGTTACACATGAAAATGATATGATTGGAACTATCTCCTCCAGACTTTTGCTGCCAATCTGACAATATTGCCACTGTGATTTTACTCATCCCCAATCATTGAAGTGGAGTATCATTCTTGGATCAGTGATTGCATTCTTTCTTCTGAGTCTGAATGTGTGGGTTCAAGGCCTATTCCAGTACTTGAAAACAAAAATCTAACCTGACACTCTAGTATAGTACTGAAGAAGAGAGGCTCTGTCAGAGGTGTCAGCTTTCAGATAATGTTAAGCCAAGATCCGGTTTTACCTCTTAGGCATAAATAAATGATTCTGTGACTAGTCTGAAGAAGTGCACTGTCCTGGCCATTTTTATCCCTCAATCAGCATCACAAAAACCACATTAGCCAGTTAATATTGCTTTGCTATTTGTGGGACCTTTCTGTGAAGAAATTCGCTGCCATATTTTTTTTTGGTTTTGTTCATGGGATGGGGGCATTGATGGCTGGGACAATATTTACTGGCCATCGCTAATTTCCCATGAGCTGAGTAGATTGCTAGGACTTTTCAGTGGGTGGTGAAGAGTCAACCACGTTACTACAGGTCTGGAGTCACATGCAGACCAAACAAGGTAAGGATGGCAGATTTCCTTCGAGAAAGGATATCAAAATACCCAGATGGGCATTTATGATCATGAACAGTGGTTACATAGTTGCCATTGGGCTGGCTTTTAATTCCATATTTTTATTGAATTTGGATTTCACCATCTATCATAGTGGAATTTGAACCCATATCCCCAGAACATTAGACAGAGACTTATCCGCTGCTTACCATTAAATTCCTACATTACAACAATGAAAACACTTATAAAGTATTTAAATCGTTGCAAAGTGCCTTGAGACGAAAGGCACTAGTTAAATGCTAGTGTATGCTATTTACAGTGTTTTACACATTTCATACAGAGGATATGCTTAATAATAATTTTACTATTTAATTAAATATTTGTCCATGTGTTACATAGACCATGGACCACTAAATCTTATAATTTTGATATACATATGGAGTAGCCTGCTCTGTACTGAATAGATTTTAGAAGTTATGCATTGAATATAAAAATGTTTAGAAAATCTTTTCTGCTGTGTTTAGTCCAAGGCCAAATATTCCAAACTGTACTTGCAACGGGCTAACTGTGTACCTCAGGAAATTCACCAAAACGTCCAACAAGGATTGACAATGCTTCAAGAATGTAAGTGTTTTTCTCAAGATCTTGTTCAAATAAAAGGCAAAGATGTGCTTACACCAGTATGTCGACTACTCATAGGAGATCCTGGCTGCACATATCGTTACTTGGATACGAGACTATTTACAATACCTTGGCCTTCCCATGGTGTTGAGGTGAAGTACAACAGTGATGAAATAGGTAAAGCCTGCCAAGCTATTAAAGATCTTAATGAATGCTTACATGTGGAAGCAATGAAAATTTTGTTGGATTATTCTTCAGCTGATGTTGAAGAAATTGGATTTGAGGCAAATACAGCAACTTCTACAGTGGTTAAGGACTCGGGAAGTATAAAAGATGGAACTTATCACAACAAACAAAGAAACAACAAAGCTATGCTAAAGAATAGAACCTCTTTTAATGTGTCCCTGTTGAATTACATGGACCCTTCAAGAACGAAATACCTGAAAGAAGAACCGTACTTTGGAATGGGAAAGATGGCTGTGAGTTGGCATTATGATGAAAATCTGGTGGAAAGGTCAACAGTTGCTGTGTATAACTACAGCTGTGATGGTAAGTATGGAAAGGAGTGGAGTATTACAGGGTTACTACTTGCTGTTTTAACATTTCCACCCCCTGAAGCTTTCTTCACACATTGAGGCTGCACACCTGCAAACTTGTACACCAATTTAGATTTACTGTTTGCTAATTGTTTTAGAGCACTGTAGAAATGTTAAATCGACACGTGTGGGCATACATGTTTCTGTATTTTATGGAATCCATTTTGTTTACATAAGCTGCCCTGTACTTTTTTTGGCTTGCAGTGCATGTGTGTATTGTAATTAACTAACTGGTTGGATGCCAAGAATATAAAACTTGCAACAAAAAAAGTTCATTGCAGAATCGCTCAGGTGCACATTTCCACTCTCATAAATGCTTTTATTGTCATTGACATCATCGTCTCTTTTGGAGTGATTTGTCAAAAATGAACTAGCTGTTGCTGCATGCTGATTTTACTACCATATACTTTGCTTTCAAGATACTACTGAGGTTAGCTTTGAACAGAAGTACTTCGTTCAGTTTCTATTGTTTGTAATGTATTTTCTCCAGTTTCTTTAGTAGCAAACTATAATTAGCATTGTGCTGTGTTAAAGATGTGAGTTAATCAAAAGAATTTGCTTTTAGTTTTACATTAGCTTCAACTTCAGTGATCATAGTCAAACTCATTTGTTACCAATAATTATCAGCACTTTTAAGTGTCAAACCTACTTGTCCTGCTTGAACTTTAGGTTTTGGCAATAAGCCTTCTTTTTAAAACTCAAAAAATAAGTTATTTTAACGAGCACATTCCAAAGGCATTGGATTTATTAGGAAACCCCAGGAAACTTTGATTGAAATTACTTCTTTTGATTGTAGTTCTACATTTTATTGGTGCCATATTGGGAACAGTGTTGCAGTTGATAATGTGTGCCAAAAATTGAGGAAATTCTGTCAAACAGGCATTCAGTTAGCCCATAGAGGTGTTTTGCTATATTTGTTAAGCTCCCTTACGTCCAAATCCCTTCAAAGCAATGCTATTTCCTGAATTCTGAAAGTCCTACTGTGAAATTTAAGTTCTAATTCATATGAACAGAGTTTTTAAACAAAATCCCTGTCAGGGATTGGTATTGATTTTCTTTCCCCCTTAGAATCTTCAGCAGATCTTGTTTTCTCATTTGAGTACTCTGGTCGAACAGCCTGAAGTAGAGTATCCAAGACAGTTGGGCCTTTTCATTACGTTTCCTTTACTTCCCACATTTTCAGCACAATTGAAATCACTTGACAGATTACTGTGCATCTGTGTCAGACAGTTGGACATACTGATGAGGGGTTTCTGCAATGCATGAAATCCGTCATCACTTAAGAACTGTGTATGATAAATTCATTAGTCTGTTTTATATCATCTTCTGAATATGGGGGCTGTCTCTTAGGAAAACAGATTTATTATAATAAAACTTACTGTGATTATAACAAATCACTTTTACTGAACCTTTATCCTTTCTCCTTCATAGGTTTAAGACCTGCTGCAGATGAAACCAACGTGACATCAGTAAAGGGCAGAGATCCAGCACTTTGGCACGTCGGCCTAAAAGTAGCCTGGGACACTGTTACACCAGGGCTGGCATTGCCCCTAGAACCTGGAGACTGCTACTTTATGCTTGGTAATTTTTGTTTAGCACTCTACTTATTCAGTTTCCAGTGAGGCACTCTGGGACGGTCCGGGTCAAGAAATCCAGACAGTATCTACTATTTAGTATCTAGGCACTCAAATAATGTTTTTATCTGGAAATGCTGTTACAATGTGTCCAATGAACTTAAGTTTGCAGGTTACAACTTCTATCTTCCAAACCCTTGTTGTGAGGGAATAAACTTTGATGATGATGATGATGATGATGAAAACATTTTACGTCTAAACATTTAGCAAGATTGTACATTTTTAAAACATTGTGATTGTTTTGATCTCCACTGAATGAAATTTTCTTCATAAAGTGAGGTCAAGTCCTTTTATTAAGAAGTACACACTTACCTGGTTAAATACCTTCAGTAAATGAAATAAATATTCGTTTCTTGAAAACTAACATTGTTAATCAGCAGCCAAGTTGAAATGAGACAGTTTGATATGTGTATCCACATAAAGTGCATGAGTGTACTTGGGATATGAGACAAAATAAAATTGTCCTGCTGTGCCACACAATTGATAGAATTCTTGCTTTGAAACAAATGTAATTTGAACTTTATGGTTTTATAAGAAGGAAACAGTTTCACTTAATTAACAATAAAATATTGGTCTGCAGAGGAAGTGTGCACTGGGCCCTGCTGTCTCAGATGCAGGTTCCAGGGTGTCTGATACATGGGTTGTTCTGTGTAAGCCGTAAATTTACACACACTCCAAGAAGGTGTGTGAAAGGTTTAATGCTTACTGTGCTCAGAAGTCTAGTTAAATAAAGTTGTTACAGTTTCAGTGCTAAAGAATGTGAACCCTGCCTTCTCATAAATATTTGGGACAGTGATGCTTCATCAATACTAGTCCATGTTGACATTTAATCCTTTAAAAAAGGAAACCAAGATAAAGAGGTTTCGGAGTGATAATAGACTGATGACGATATGGCTTACCCTGAGTATGACCTTTTGTGGTGACACTTATACTACCAGATACCAGGCACAAGTCAGGTTCCTTGTAATGTCCTTTTTAATGAAATGAGAAGATTATCACTCTGAATTGACTTTGGTTATTTGTTTCTTTTCAAAACAAAAAATTGCTGATTGCTGTCATATTTCACAAAGAAAATTAACACAGTGGAATTAAACAATGAAATTTTGTTTATAAACTACCAGAAATTGTAATGCTCATTAGACTGGAACTTGAATAAATTTTTAAACATGTAAAATTTAGAACCAAGCAAGTAAAATCATATTCTTCCTGAGTTCATGTTTTCCCACAAAGTTTCATGATCTAGAGACTATGCAGACAATCTGCCAGTCCTTAACTGATCAAGGTGTTCTTTACCAAGCAGGACTGCTATCATTTTCTTCACATTTTGAGGTCAGGCTTTGATATTTACAATGGGTGTGGGGAAAATAAAAAAAAAATAGGATTTTCAGAAAGGAGACCCAAAAAAATTCAGTTTGTTGTACTGAAAGAAAGTAATTTCAGTTTTAAGTGTTCTCAATGAGTTTTCCACCTAACAACCAGATTAGGTGGGAAAGTTGTTGAGGAGCAGATGTTTTGTACGTAGGAAATTGCTGGATTGGTGGCTGAGGGAGTTAGGAAAGTTCAAAAGTTGTAGAGTGGTGAGAAATCACATAATGAGGTTATGTGTTTGCATTTGGTCACTGTGGGGTCCAAGTGTAGAGTCTGTGGAAAAAAATGAGGTGAAAAGGGAACAAGGAGACACATCAGCTTCTCAGCCTACCAAGTGCAATAAAGATACTTAGCTTATTGGTTTTGTGTCTTTTTGCGTTGCCAGAATTTGAGCTCCAGGAAGATGGTTCCATAAATTAATGCTGCTAAATGGAAGTAAACAGTCTCTTCAAGAGATTTTACTGATTAATACGTTTTGTACGAGTGGATTGTTTGACCTCCTAAGATCTGCCTTCATTAAAAGTGGGAGAGTTAGGTTGTTGTTGGATTTCAGAATTTTAAACACTCCTTTGCCACACATCCCTCCAGGTTAATATTCCCGCCTTTGGCTCTGTCCATCACTTGTTTTGGTCAGTTGTTCAAGATTAGAAATTTGATGAAGCGGAATACATCACGTGTGAGGAAATTTGCACTTCCTGTCTTATTTTCACCCAAGTATCCACAAACTCTAGATATTCTGAATATATTTTACATCTCACTGCTGGCAATATAAATTTATTAATTTAAATATGTAAATTCAGAATACTAATGAAATCTTCTTTGCTTTGAATTTCGTCAAGTTGGAGGTGAATTAAAATGCCATTTGATGGAGCCCTTTAAATAAAGGTTTTGAATATTGATAAATTGAAACAAAGTGACAAACAAACAAGCTTAATGGGTGAAGCTGGGCAACTTCAAGACTAGGGGACATATTTTTAACGTGAGAGGAGAGACATTTAAAAAAGAATGAGGGGCAGGTTTTTTTGACACAGAATGATTTGCGTGTGGAATGAACTTCCTGAGGAAGTGGTGGATGCAGGTACAATTACAATGTTTAAAAGACATTTGGATAAGTACATGAATAGGAAAGCTTTGGAGGGATATGGGCCAAGGGCAGGCAGGTGGAACGAGTTTAATTTGAGATTATGTTTGGCATGGACTGGTTGGACTGAAGGGTCTGTTTCTGTGCTGTATGACTTTATGACTCTAAGTTTGGAAACTACCTTTTGGCTCAGTTAAAACAAATCACTTTTAAATCTATTGACTGTGGATAGAACTTAATACAGTTAACATTAAACTCCTGTCAAGTATCTACTTTTAAGCAATGCAACATGTTTAACTACTTTAATTGCGATAGCTGATTTTCACACTGCATTCCACATTCTTGCTTTCTGCACTGTAAATTGTTGTTTTACTGGAGAATAGTTGTAACGCCTGAAACCTGTGTGTGTTTTTAATAGATTCAAATGATGCATTTTTGCTTAACCTCTAACATCTGCTGAAAAGATTTCTTTCTCAAAACCCAGCCCATAAGACCATTGATGTTTACAGCAGAAGGAAGCCATTCATTCCATCATGTCTGTCCCATCTATTTGCGACAGTAGTAGAAAATGAATCTCATTTCTCTGTTGTATTCTTGTAGCTGTGTACCTTCCTTTTCTTCAAATATTTGATCACTGTTGCCTGAAAAGACCCAGCCAGCGTTCTTTACTATTTCAAATATACAACGCAGCAGTGTGTTAACATGAGGACTTTATTGAAAGGATGCCTGCATGCCTGCAGCACATGTGCCTTATAGTTGAGGTCACATGACTACATTGGACTAAAAATCAGAGAATCCCTACGATGCAGAGAGAGGCCATTTGGCTCATTGAGTCCACATTAACCCTCCAAAGAGCATACAGCCCCCCAGCCTACCCTGTAACCCTGCATTTACCATGGCTAATCCACCTAACCTGCACATCTTTGATTGTAGAAGGAAACCGGAGCACCCAACGGAAACCCACACAGATACTGAGAAAATGTGCAAACTCCACACAGCTCACCTAGGCTGGAATCGAACCCAGATCTCTGGCCCTGTGAGGTAGCAGTGCTAACCACTGAGCCACCATGCCACCCTAAAAGACAGGCATTTGTACACGATTGCTTTTCAGTCAAACATCTCCCTTTTGATACAAAAATGAGGAAGAAAAGCATGCATTATCATGTACAGTTTTAGTTACCCAAGTTTCCAATTTTACATGAGTACTGTTCTCATGTTTTTGCAGTTCATTAATTCTATCAGTCTCTCTGTATACATTACACAAATGGGCCTTAAATGATGCTGCTTCCTTAATTGATATGCTTGTGTGTTGTTGTGGTTTGCTATTCATCAGAATGATGTTAGTTCATCAAACAGTATTGCTCCTGTGTCATTTGTTGTTCTTTCGCTGTCGTTGTGTTGCAGTGGACCTCTGGGTCTGACAGTTAATGTGTGCTCTGTGTAGGTAGTGCATTCACATTTTACTTATCAGCTGCCTACAGACAAGGAACGGCTTCTGCAGTTGGGCGCATGTGACTGTGTTTGGGATGTTTTACCAGGTTATTTATTTTCACTGTGAATGATCGAGGTAATAACTGCTTTATGTGGATCCTAAGTTACTGTGTGAACATCTTTTTGTCAAGGTAGTTGAAAGTTTGTACCTTGACTGGCTCTCAAATGCTGAACTCTGGCAGTCATTTAGCATGATGTGGACGTGCTGGTGTTGGACTGGGGTGGACAAGGTCAAAAATCACACGAAACCAGGTTACAGTCCAACAGGTTTATTTGAAAACACAATACCACCAACTGCCAATTTCCAGATACCATCCTACAACTCACCCGCTTCAACCTCAACCACAACGTCTTCATCCTTGACTATAACATCTTCATTCAAACACATAGAACAGCCATGGGGATCAGATTTGATCCCCCATATGCCAACATTTTCATGCACAGGTTCAGACAAGACGTCTTTGCTGCACTGAGCCTCCAACCAGCATTATACACCAGATACATTAACAACGTTTTCTTCCTCTGGACTCATGGTGAGGAATCACTGAAACAACGACATAGTGATATCAACAAGCTTCATCCCACCATCAGACTTACCATGGACTACTCTTTAGAATCAGTCTCATTCTTGGACACACACATCTCCATCAGGGACGGGCACCTCAGTACATCACTCTACCACAAGCCTACAGATAACCTCATGATGCTGTACTTCTCTAGCTTTCACCCAAAACATATTAAAACAGCCGTACCCTACGGACAATCCCTACACATACACAGGATCTGGTTGGGTGAGGAGGAACAAGATGGACACCTGAAGGTGTAGAAAAACGCCCTCATAGGAACAGGACATGATGCTCAACTCATCGATCGCCAGTTCCCATGTGCCACACTGAAAACCTGAAATGACCTCCTCAGAAGACAGACACAGGATATGTCCAACAGGGTGCCCTTCATCGTCCAGTACTTCCTGGGAGTGGAGAAACTACGCCATGTTCATCACAGCC